TAGACATTCGGTGAATTTTTGTCGGTGAAATGTTATGTCTACGAAACTAGCGTCGGTGAAGTGATACGTATCCGAATATTTTCCTGCCAATGTCATGTTAATCACTTTTGATACCTTTCTTGCTTCGCTTAATTGTTGTATTGTTGCGTTATTATCATTCTGGATTCTAGTTTTACGCGGAAGAAATAGAAGCAAAGGTTTAAACATATCAATGATATGCCAAATCCATATAAAATGCTTACTCTTCCTTTTCAATGCATCTTTCATATGTTTTTGATGCAAAATATTTTTATCACTAGTTTCCTTAGAAAGTGATTCTGGTAGGAAAAGGATGATAAATATACAAAAGGTTATGTATATTGTAAGGTTGACATAGAATCCGGACAAAAGATTGTCCGTAAACTTGAGAATTATTCCACCCAATAAAGGGCCAATTGCGAATCCTATAAATATCGCAGATTGTAGTCGTGAAAATACTATGTTCCTACAAAATTTATATTACAAAAAAAAAAAAAAAAAGTCAAAATTATAGTACACATCTTAATAATTTTAAATAAATTTATTTCATTATTCGGTTACTTACCTACGCTCTATAGGTGTACAGTCTGCGGCATAGGCGTAAAATGCTGCTTTAACGGGTAAAAAACCTCCAGTTATGTCATCAATTAGTGGACTTACTACTAAGAAGTATAAACTAAGAGATTTATAGTACGTCCCTACAAGAATATTAATTATAGTACTTATAACGGCACCGATAGTGGGTAAAAGAAGAACAATACGACGACCTCTTCGATCTGATAGAGAACCATACGGACCTGCTCTAAATATGGCTATTATTATAAAAAACAGATTAGATTATCATTAATTATCAGTACGTATTTGTTTTTTTCAACTCACCAGGTATTGCGGAACATAAATTTAACATTGCAAGAAATTTTGATGCCATAGATTGAACTTCTTTGCTGTTACAATCTTCAACTACATCGCCAGTATCATTAAACGGAGATCTTGATTTGTAATAATGGTAGCATACTATCTTCACATTTAATTCTACAGAAGGTGCAAGCCAAAGGCTCCAGGTAATTGTTAAAAAAAAGAGAGGAAGTATGATCCAATATGCTGATGGTTTCCTATACCATGGTATTACGGAATTTTGCTCATAATTCGGTGACCCATCCATTCATTAAATTTTTTGCTGTCAAGAACAGATAATGGCTTTAAGGAGAGTTGACATGGATTTTATGAATTTTTGTTTGATTTAAAGTTAAAACATTCAACCGTCTGTATACTGATAATACTGCTACATCATCATTATGAACATATTTGGTATGGTATGACAGTGTCACATACTTTATCTTCATTAAGCATATCGATATTAGAACGACATTCGAGCTAGTTAGCGTTATTGCCATTGTTAGAGTATATGTCAAGTGCGAATTACTAGTATAATTTCAGATCATCTTATTAAGTCTCCTGAGCGTGTCATGAGGTTAAACAGTCGCTTGGGGCCACCGTTATCTATCTGGTTTGAATGAAAGTTAGGTAGAAGCTATCCAAGTATGGAAGTCTAAAGCGCGTACAATCTTTTTTCCTTTGAAGTCTTTAATAGAGAAAGTATAAACGTATAATACATGATTATTTTAAAGTTTCTACATTCTATTTTCTTCTATGATCATTTATAGTTTTTCATCGATCATCATTTCCCACACCTAAAAATAAAATGTGAGAAAGTAAGTTTTCAATACGTGTTTTAGACGAGTATTGATTTTTAATTCTTAAAATTGTTTAAAGGATGAACGAATACTATCCCTTAAATTGTCAACAGTTAGCGGACGAATTTGGCTGTTAAAATATTAAAATTTTTTTATCAACAACTAAAATATAGTATATAAAAAAAATAAAGTAATTATTTTAAAATACATAAAGATTATAAAATAGTAATATTTACTTTTTTTTTTTTTTTTATAGTCAAGGTTAGCCTCTTTGGCTTTTCGCTTTTATTAGATTGTAGAATCATGTGGTGCCCTTATCAAAGGGGCCCCAGACAAGTACATTCTGACGAGGGTACATTCTAGCCATACCTGCGCCTTTTGAGCGTCTAATTTAAGTAGTCTGCCTATTACTAGGTTCTACACTAGATGCTGTACCTGTAACCCACTATTATTTAGATAGTAATATTTACTTTTAAATTATAAGAAAAATAAAGAATATTACTAAAATGCATTTATTATAGGTGTTTAACACTGCTGCTATATCTCAAAACCTGTCTAATTAACCATGGTCAGATATATTAAACAAAATTATTTAGAATTTTCAAAAATCATATTAATTAAATTTTGAACTTTAAATTTGATTTTAGTTTATAACTAAAACTAGTTAAAAGAGCATATAATTAGTAATAGTATGTCTTTTGGTTTGATATATCAAAAGAACAGCATGTATATGTAAATCTTATTTATCAGTTCTTTTAATCTTAGTGAATAATTTATAAAGTGTTCTATTAAGACATTTAACCATTCTATTAATCTGTAGGTGATATAGCAAAAAGAACTTGTGCTTAATAATGAACTTTTTATATAGTATTTAGATAGTCATTAATAAAGTTTCTTTCTTGGTCTAATTGAATTATCTTGGAAGTTCCATGTCTACAAATAATTTCTTTAAAGATAAATTTCACTAAAATTTTAGCTCTGGCATTTGGTACAATTTGGGCTTCTATCATTAGGTTAAATAGTCTGTTGCTATAATAATATAATGATTGTTTTGTTTGGTTATTAGTAGAGGTCTATTTAGATCTATATCAATTTATTTAAAGGTTTGTTTAACTTGTATTGGGTATAAAGATTCTTTTCTTCTGCCTTGTTTGTCTTTTTTGGCATTCTTCATATGTTTGTACATATTTTTTAATATCTTGTTACATTTGGTCCCAATAGTATCATTCAACTATTTTATAATACATTACATCTGTTTTAAATTTTTTTAGCAGTAGAATGTTTATATATTATATATAGAACTAGTTCTACTTTTGTTTATTTGATAATTCATAAGGTTTGTTTGGATCTCTTTTGTTCTTCTTATAAAGTAAGTAGTATCTAATTTCAAAATATTATGCTTAATTAATTAATTATTTCTTCTGATTCTCAATAAAGTTTTCTAAGATAATGTCTATATATATAACTGATAATATTAGTCTAAATTCATGATAATTTGGGTTCTTTTGTCTAAGTCTGTAGTCAAGAAAGAGTATTAATATTAGAATATATTCATCTAATTTATAAATATAATCAAATCTGTTTAAATAAATACTTTATAAATAAATAATATGTATAAATGAATACAAAATCTCAGAATCAAGTTGGTTATTATGTCTAATTATATAAACTGTTTAACTGAATAATATATAAAAAATTTTTAATTTTATTAGTAAAAATTTTAAAAAAATTATACTATTTGAATATCTTAAACTTTATATACATAATTATTTATAAAATTTTATAATTATACAACCCTTTATTAAAACTATTTGCAAAGCCCATATTTTAGCAATATGGTCATCCCAACAATATAATGAAGAATAGTCTCAAACTAATCACAAAATTAATTGGCAATCAACCTGGCTATATAATAACTATAATCACAAACCTAACATTACAAACTTTAAACTAAATTAACTCAAATCCTTCAAAATTAAAATATTACTTAAAGAACTACCTACTCATTCTCTTTATCATACTCTTTATCCTACTATCTTTCAGAATATTAACTGTTTCTACTATGAAGCATTAAATTCATCTTTACACTGACTTAACTGTTCTAATCCAACACTACTTCTGCATATTATTATATATATACTACTAACTATATTAATTCAGCTGAATTAGGTTTATTATAAGACTAAAAGGCTGAATTTATTTACCAAATTCAACATTATGAGGCATTTAACTCTGTAGAAATATAGCCTTCCTCACACTACTTAGAACTTACACTTAAAGGTTTAATCCCCAACTCCATAGTTTAAACAGTTCAAGACTTTGGCATACTCTATAAATAAGCATCTCATATCATTATTGAACTGTTTTTTAAAATTAATAAATAAATATATGAACAATTTTTGAAGCTCTACTGTATTAACTTCTCTAACTGGAGAAAGTAGCAACAAATAATATATCACTCTTTACTATAAACCTAAAGAGATACCACTAACTACTTATAAAAATAACTGCTCCTATATAAACTTTTTTACTCCTGTCTATATGGTATAGCAGATCAACTACACTCCTATTTAAATATCTGTCCTCCCTTGAGTCAAGCTATATGAAAATTAGCATCTAGTATAAATACTGGATAAAATATAGTTTTACTTTAAATTTCATTCCAACTTTAAGAATCTAGATGAGTCTTTGACTATTCTAGTGGGTTTAGGTTATAGATAAATATGTCTAACTTTTATTTTTGCATATAATTTTTATTTTTATTTGTATTTGTACAAGTAGTAGTATATAACTTTTATGTAATTACTATTCTCAAAACTACTAATAAAAATATGAGCAAGGCCTTACTTCAATATCAAAAAAAAATTTTATAATTTGATTAGTTAATAGAGAAATCACAAGTCATCTAAACAAATATTTAATAATAATAAAAACATTAAAATCAGTCTAATAGTTCTTGAGAAATCTTTAAAAAACTTTTTTTTTATATATAAAATTTCTTTAAAAAAAATTGATTTTTTTTAAAGAAA